TTAGGACGACTCTTCGATCGAAGTGATCAAACTTTAGAGAGTGAGAGCATTCAAGGAGTCTTTGTTAAAGCGGTCTGTAACTGCAGATTTTTAGATTATCTTTTTGTGCAACAATGAAGCACTCGAGGGGATTTCTGTATGGGGATTTATCAAGAGGACTGAACATTGTTTACAGGATTACAGGATTAGTTTGAGATTTTGTTTGAAACAAAAACTTGTCCATCGGTTTCAAGCAAGACAAAAACAGTTACAATCAATTCTTGTATCTGAAGAAGAAAAGATTTGAATTCATTCCCCCCAAAAATGCACCATGAAATTCAGTGTAACTTTTGACAGATATTGGCTTCTGTTCAACACAACTTTGGAGGGTAACAGCTAGCCTAGCATTGCCTTATGTAAACAAGGTAAAAGGTCTGTCTACCTGTAGGCTACTACTGAAGTTTGTTTTTTTGCAGTGACTTAAATGTTAGTTTATTGTTTTGCTGGTGACAAAGTGTGTGAGCTTTCTTATGCTAAGCTTAGCTACCATCACCTAGCTGTTATTTCTATCTATCTAGAGCAGTGCATCTGGGACTTGTGCATGGTTAAATGTTAAAGCACCAATGTTACTGCATTGTCCATGTCAAATGAACAAATAAATAACTTCATTTAGCTCACAGTCATTGAGTTTCCCCAGCTCCACCATGATTGGTTAACATTATGATTTATATACTTAAGAATACAGATCTGGTTTGATGAGACTGTCTTCTTCTACAGGTTGAAACATGACAACTTAGTCGACATGGTCGGATTTTCCTGTGATGGACAGCACCCGTGTTTGGTGTACGCCCTCATGGCCAATGGCTCTTTGCTAGACCGACTAGCTTGCTTGGTAAAAACCAACACTTGCCCTACGTTTTATCTTTTAAAATGTACTACTTTTCCTGTCACAAAACGCATTTATACCTTGTTTATTGCTTGTGGTTCTTATAGGATGAAAGCCCTCCACTGTCCTGGCTGCAGAGGTGCACGATCGCTGAAGGGACAGCAAGAGGCTTGGAGTATCTGCACAACAACCATCATGTCCACAGAGATGTGAAAAGGTAAATAGAGGAGGCACGTTTGTCCTTTTATGAACGCACCCAAAAATGATCTACTCTTAAAGGAAAAGTTTTGCATTTTGGAGAATACACTTGTCCACTTATTTTGCTGAGAGTCTGAGTGAAAAAATTGAACCCACTCTTAGAACCCATTAACATGTAATCACATCGTGCATCTTCTGCAGATCAGATAGATGTGATCTCAAAAAGCTTTCAGGACAGAGTAAGTGCAGCCAAGAAGGATTCGAGATGGATTGAAATAAGATTTCTCAAACCATCTCTCAAACATGATAGATACAAATGAAGCTAGAGCAAAAAGGAAGACTGATGTTGTCCGTTGTTGTTTTGATCTTCTGCTTTTGTTCTGGAAAAAATGTTTGTCAGTGAGCGTTAGAGGGACTTTGTGGATGTTGTTAGCTCCGAGCAGAGCCAGGCTAAATAAATGTTGCTGCTTCGCTCTCCCCTGACTTTTAGGAAGAAAGTGAATGTGAGATTATTCCCCAAAATGTGCGACTGTTCCTTAGACATTTGTCGCGAGCTCAGAAAGGCCTTTCTCACGACATTTCATTTCTTCCCGTTAAGTGCAAATATCCTGTTGGATGAAAATCTAGTGGCAAAGATCTCCGACTTTGGGCTGACGAGAGCATCCCCAAAGCGCACATCGACAACCATGATGACGGAGAGGATCGTGGGTACCCGTGCATACATGGCGCCCGAGGCTTTAAGAGGCGAGATCACGGCAAAATCAGACGTCTTCAGCTTTGGAGTGGTAGGCTTTCTGCAGACACGCACATCTAGAGACATGCACTCACACACACACACACACACACACACACACACACACACACACACACACACACACACACACATAAACACACACATAGGGGTATTATAATGTCAGGAAGGAGAAAGTGCGGCGGTAATGCGAAATACTGACCCCGACTCAGCAGTTTACTTGAGTGCAAGGTTCTCCTAAAGTACTGACACGCACATAATTGCGGGATGCAAACATTAGTGTATAGATTTCTCCCCATTTGTGAAACTAGAGCTCTGTTTTATGTATCAACTGTCATTATTCCCTGCTAAAAAAAAATCTGAGGGTGCACAGCTGCATTGTGTCAGTCTCTATAAATGTCAAACGTATTATCCGATGTATGACATTGGACGAATGATTGACAGGGTCAGCAGCACTGTATGAAGCTGCCCGTCCTTCCTTACAGCTCAGTATGTACAGGTTATATGTGTGCTATAGGGCAGCTGTGGAAACACTACAGCGTCTGTAATCCTGCCGGGCTCATGGATGGGTAATAAAGGTTTTCTGTCTACCTAAAGCCACGTGATTAAGCCCACCTTCTCTGCTATCTACAGGTGTTGTTGGAAATATTGTCTGGACTCCCGCCAGCCGCTGAAAACCGTGAGCCACAGTTCCTGGTAAGCTGCACAAAAGAGGCTTTGACTGCAGGATCTATCAAGCATCAGTTTACGATTACAGCTTATTACAGACTTAGCGTTTAATTAAGTAAGGCGCGTGTTATCAGCTAGTAGTCATTAGGGAGTAATTAAGACAGGTTTCTTGTTGTGCTGATCAGTGTTCACATGGTTTTATATACAGTATATAAATCCAAATTTGGAGGTCATGGCAAATAAAAAAGCACCCTCAAAATCAAGTTCCTCCAGTATGACACAAGCACTTATCAATATAAACACTCCCACAGATGGAGATGAGGTACGACATAGACGATGAAGACGAGGATCTGACCTTGGAGGACTTCCTGGACAAAAAGATGGGCGACTGGGAGCTTAGCCAGTCGGAGAGTATCTACTCTTTGGCCTGTAACTGTCTCCTCGAGAGGAAAAACAGACGGCCCGTCATCAAGCAGGTACAGTCAGAGGAGACAGGTATCAAGCTTTATAGTTTGAGCCGACGGTGCCGGAGTCATCATGATTGTGTGATGAGCTCCAGGAGCAGCAATGAAAACTAACAACCTCCATTCAAAACGACAGAAACAACGACGTCTGAGTCAGTCTATTAAGATCTCTGATCTGACTGCCATATCCTGTGGCTCTGAACTACATCCCATTGAATTGTTCTGGATGCCTCATGCCTATTTATTGATTTTAACAGAAATAAAGGGGGGTTCTGTCCTTCCTCCTTACGCCCTTTTCAAACAGAAAGATGTTTTAAAATACTGACAGTGTGCTGTTAGAGCTGTTTGTTGTGCTTACCTATAAACAGCATTTAATTTTTAATTTCTAAGATGATCAAAATAAATCAGTAAAAGGGGGGGGGAGAAAGAGGCATATAAAATTAAACATGAGTATAAAGTGCACTCATTTTCATCTGCAGATTTGATGCGTAAGTAAGAATTCAACTTGTAATAGACTAAAGCGTCAGTCTGGCCTATATGGTGTTTTAGTTTTGGGGGGATTAATGTCAGATTAATGATTTTTTTTTTTCACACAGACAGATTGCTTCTCAGAAATCTTTCCCTTTAGTAGATATGTTTCATGGAACTGAGGAATCTGGTTCTCTAATGAAGCACTAAAGTCAAAGACATCTTGCCTTCAGGTTATTTTATTTGAGCTTATGTAATGTTATGTGAGGTTAGGTTACGTCTCGCACACATTCATCCATATTGATGCCAGTAGATTCTCCCCAAGCTTTACTGAATGTGGCAGAGGCAGGGACACAATGAAATCATCGAAGTTAGGCGTGAATCAAACTATGATCAACTGGAGGCAAATAACTATAATGTTTGATATGCTTCAGCTTGTATGCCTGTGTCTGATGTACAGTGTTACCTTCTCCACAGGTCCTGATGGAGGTGAAAGGAGTTGTCAAAAACATTTTACTGGATCATAAGGTCCAGAAGTGAAACAAGAGACGAGAAGACAAAAGATTTCTGAGCCTGCTGAAGTAACAGTGCACCTGCTTCTCACCAGAGAAGAATGAGAAATCAATGTTGCTTGTTCACTCTGACTGACAAATACATATTTTTTCCATGAATATTGTCTTTTAAATGATTCAGTATATTTTTTATAAGAGTGTATGTATTCTTGTTTTGTCTTTTCATGTCTTGCAGAGGTTGGAAACAATCATCCTCACCAGTTTGTGACGACAAAAGAATAAAATGCATGACAACACTTCTGATTTAAATATTTTATTTTTCTTCTTTAAAAGAAAGATTTGTAAGAAAACAAATAAGACTGAACATGATTCTTTTTTTTTTCTATTATACTGACACTATGAATAGAAAGGGCTTTTCCCTTTAACCATGAGGTGAGCTTAGTAGTTTGTCTAATATTAATCAGTAGAACAGTGGATGTGGCAACATATCATCAAGGATCTTTTTAAGTATTCCCTTTCCTCTCAGGTTGACTCGGCCTCCCCCGTGGCGTGGGAACCCGGCAACATGTGAGGAGCTTCCTCTCAGTGAAATATGAGATGTATTGATGTAATATTTCTGGAAGCCCCGGTTCTTTCCGCTATGATCCTCACCGACACCGAACAATCACCAGAACAGACTGTTTCTTAATCATAGAGCATCACACAGCTACAATATGTACATTTACAGCACTTGCATAGAAAAATAAGTTTCTCAGCAGATGATTTGTTTTCATGTAAACCACAGTTATATCAAAAAAGAAGTCAATTTGTCCAATATAAAATGCACGGTTAAAATGAATCAATAGACACAAGTGGGGTCATTCTATGTTTTTTTCGGCTTTGGAGCACCTCATTGTGCAAACAGTAGGAGACCAATCTGGAACACATTAGACACAGAAACATTAATTGACACAGACTTAAGGAATGCAGGTTAAAAACTGGAGGATGTGAACTCAAAATGGTTTTTTTTTTCTTTTCTTTCATATTGGCGCAAGTTCACATTTCTGGCAACAATGTAAAAACTCAAGGTTGACTTTTTTTTTTTTTTCTCTCTTCCCGAGCCGATTTGAATCCCTGTTAATTCATTATGGTGACTGTGCTAAACACACATTAATACGCTTCCATTTGGCAAGCTACAAATGGAGACTCTGCCGTGTGTCATTGCTCAGTTGTCCTTGGCGTGCATAGTTGGATCTCTAGGTGAACTTTGCGGGAATTTTGAATGTTGTCTTATTCTTTTAAACAAGCGTGAAAATATGATTTCCCCCTCCCCCCCATCACAGGAATGCTCCACTGTGGAACGTGCTCAGAGTGGAGGTGGTGGCCTGGCTGCTGAGGTCTGTTTAATCTTCCCCCTCTCCCTCTGCGGGTGGTCGGGTGAGGCGGCGGTATCCCCTCTTCCCCGTGGGCCCTTTGGGCTTGGCGAAGGCCTGCTTGTGTGCATGCTGCTTGGGATGCACCTCCTCATACAGGAAATCACTGGTCAGCTCGTCCCCGTCGTCGATCTCCAACTGCGACACAGACACACAGAAAGGCTCCCTCTTTAACAAGCCTGATTTCATATTCTGTATGATCCATACTGCACACATCACCTCATGCACTCACGCATCAGAATACATTCCCAATCAACTGTCTGCCTCAGCTTCAACAGGTTGGAATGGTCTTTGATCATTTCACATTAGAGTTTTTCTTTTTTATTGTCTGTGTTTACTCAGATTAAATAGAGCAATGATATGCTGAAAACAAGTAAAGCGAAGCACTTTTGAATCAAACATTAAGAGACAATCTTGCCACTTGTACCTCAAAATATCAAACCATTGTTTATCTATAGAATGTCCAAAAAAAAAAAAGTGTCCTCTCTTTCACAGCTTGTGCCTAACTGGTCTGTATAACCAGTGCAGACACACTATGTGGGGAGAGATGTTGTTCTGCTGTTGAGATTAATGATGGAGGAACTTACAGAGCTAAACTGACGTTGATGCTATTGTAAGAGCCGACAGGACACAACAGTGTGTGGTTGTGTGTGTTTTGACACTCTTGCTCTTTGTTTTCCGTCGTTCCTCTTTAACTCCCAGAATGAAAGCGTGTCTTGTACAGCAATATAAGATGAGGCAAAATAGCCTTCGTTGATCCACCACAGGAGAAATCAACTTGTCATGGCAGCTCACAAAAAAACAAACACGATATTTTCATGCATTTTTTTGGTTCAGTGAACGTAAACGAAGCCAGCATACGGTGCAGGGATCTCTTGCTTGTTTTATTTGACCATCAGTTCAAAATAAAGGGATAATGTTGCAGCAAACAAACAACAGTCTTCTGAATAGATTACACCTCATGATTTTATATGTAAAATGTGTTTTTTGTGTGTGTGTTACTTTTGCAGTGTCGTACCTTTTTCTCAATCTCAATCTGGAGATTTCTTTCCACCATGTCGACCAGGGGATTTTTGCAGCTGGAATACAGCATCCTCTCTTTGATGCTACACTTGTACCCGGGCATAGAATAAATGAAGACTGTGCAGTGGGGAGAAGAGAGAAAAAAAAAAAACAATGAGAAGAGCGGACACAGAGCAACATGGAGAAAAAGGAGCAGTGTAGAATAATAGCGAGTGTGTCTAATGCTTTAAAATAAGTTGAGAGAAAGTGTTCACCTGTGGACTCCAAGTAGTCGCCTTCATGGGAATGTTTGTAGAGGAAGAAGTGGTAACGTGGAGATACTTTGGAGATTCTCATTGGCAGGTCTTTCAACTCTGTTGGCTCAGTGTTGCACAGCCGAATCAGCTCCTGTTCAGCGTCCACTTCCTGTTGAAGGGAGAAAATAAATGTATCTCAAGGTTGGTGGAACGAGGAATCCCTGCTTGAATTCTAGACCGACTGCTGATATGATATGAGATATGAATCCTGCATAGTCCTTAGAGCAAAGCAGGATATTGACTTTTTCCCTGAGTATTATTCTTACTAAACCTCTTTTATTTCTGTCTATAGTTTCTCTTTTTCTTTGCCTTGTCTGTTCTTGGTGGAGAGTTTAGAATGATGAACTATACGATCATGTAAGTATTGTTGGTGTATCTTGTTTTAGTGTTGTAGTCAAGACATTTAGGGATCAGGACAGAGACAAGACCAAAACATTTAGGGATCGGGACAAGACCAAGACATTTAGGGATCGAGTCCGAGACAAGACCAAGACATTTAGGGATTAAGGATCGAGTCCAAGTCAAGACAAAGACCATAAATATCACTGAAAAATCATCATCTTGTGTGCCGGGGGCGTGTCACTAACTTAGACCATAACACCGGGAAGGTTTTGGACGTGACAGAAGAATACAAATCTTATTATGAATGAAGTTATTTGTTCTTTTAGAAAGGGGAATTTGTCCAGGCCTGTTAGTGGTGGTCTTGATTTAAAATCCGGAGTCCGCCCAGTCTGAGACCGAGACAACGGGAGTAAAAATGCTTTCTGTTCTGAGACGAGACCTACAAAAGACTGGTCTAGAGACTAGTCTTGAGACCAAGACTGATTCCGAGTACCACAACACTTTGTTGTTTCTCTTCACCTGAGTCTGTTTACAATGAGCTCGAGGCAGGATACTCTTAGGTACAATCAAAATGTTACTTCCAACATAAAAATAAAACCTATCTGTGAGGAGAGTGAATAACAAGCGTCTCCCTCTCAGGTGCGTCTGAGTGAAACATTTACTGTTCTGCTGCTCAGCAGATTAATAGAACTAAACACGCCGCTTCCTTACAGCTTTTAGGACCACAAACGAAAAAGGAACCGAGACAAAGCTGCAACAGTGGCACAAATACGCCTTTGTACTTTGCACAGATGTGATCTTGTGACACTGACCCTTCGAATTTCAATGAGAGGAACAAAGGCTTTTTGGGCAAAAAGAGTGACTCATTGTGTTTGTGTGCCGCCGCCAACAACACCCCCCCACCCCCCCCACCCCACACCCACACACACACACACACACCTCTCTCTCAGAACAATGTATAGAGACAAACAAGAATATGCTTGTTCCAAGTATTGATCGACCAAAGGTCACCTGCTCTCTAATGATTGCCTGTTAAAGACTCACCAGTTGTACGTAGTTGTGTTTTCCGTCCCTATAGCGTTGGAGTGCTGCGACAGCATCTTTGTGCATGGGGAAAGCCACTCCCTGCAGAGTCGCATGTTTGGTGTCCACACCGATGTCTGTCTGCACCTGAACACACAAACACACAAAATGAACAACATCGCACTTCAGCGTTTTGTTGGCAAGCCATGGTTACAAAGGCCGTCTAAATTAGAGCAAACATAGTCATGTTAATGAGGGCACTAATAGGGACAATTGGAGCTTTATTATTATAATACGTCGTCCGTTTTTATTAAAAAATACGATCTTATTTAAAAGCAACACGAATGCAAAAACTTCTAAAAAAGACAGGGTGTTAGTTTGTGATTTGCAACACGGTCTTATTGTGCTCAAAGTACGTATGTGTCTACATACACAAACACAAGAATCCAGATGACTTCATGACCACATGATGTTGACATGCTCGTAAGTAACATTATGGAATCATACAGAGAAGCACAAGTTAAAGAGAAAAAAAAGGTTTCTCCATCACTTCCTTCAGGTCACATTTATTTCATTGCCTTAAAAACAACCTGTTCTTGTTTTTCATTCCTGTTGTTTATAACTTTCAGTTGGCCAAAAGGACAAAGTGTGCGCTATTGTTGCTCTTATTACTGTTGTTCTCCATTTTTAAACCAGGTCTTGTTCAACAGCCGAGAGAGCTGGGGGGAAGGGTTGGGAGAGCACTCTGTATTTGTGTAACTACCGGTACGTGTTTTAGGGCCCGACAAATATGGGATTTTTGGGGCCGATATCGATATTGGGGAGAAGAAAAATCTGATACCGATATATCGACCGATGTTTGTCTTAGATCTATGTTTCAGCTGTAGAGATAGAAAGACATACATTTTAAAACCACATTTATTACATTTGTCCCTCAAACACAGTTATCAAATACTCGTGGAAAAGATGTACAGTACAACATAGACAAGACGGACACTCGACTGAAAAGTAAGTCACCGCTTTACACTCTGTAGAGTGATAATGCTTGTTGTAATCCATATGGCACCCTGCTGGTGAAAGCCAGAAAGAGAACTGCTAGTGTAATTCAACAATACTCGCGTTAAATGCTATTTGACTGGTAAATAAATCGAGTAATATTGGCTCATATCTGCGTTAAATGCCGATACCGCTAGTCACTTGATTTGCTAATATCGGCTGATATCATCGGCTGGCTGATAAATCAGTCGAGCTCTAGTATGTCTGTCTGATAAGTGATGCTGTTTTGTATGCTTGTGTATTACTTCACACACAAGAATACCCCTTCAGAATGAGCTGATACGTCTCAGGGGGCGATCCTTTAATAAATTCCAAATCAATACATTTCTGTTCGGTTATTAAATTCAATCATGCGTTTAAACACTGAGGAACACACACAGGTTCCCACTGCTTACTTCGGTGCCTTTAAGTCTTGTGTATGAGTGAAATGAAATAATTAAGCTTCTTCCTGTTGATCAGAAAGCCTGAATGTTTACAAGAGCAACAAGCAGCTCGCATTCTGGGGCGCACGATGATTACATATGAGGGGCTCGTATTGGAAGTGACAAAGCTCCTGTGCGTAATCACACATAAAACGAGAAATGCTGAGGAGGGATTACACTGATGGATTGCGTCTATTTTTAGAGCCCCTGTTCCCACAAAATGAAATGCCGTGCAAACCGATGGAGCCTCCGATGTAGCTACCTCGCACACACACAAAAAAGGATTGCGGCTCTTCTATCCATCTGCTTAGTAAAAAAAAAAAAGGCCGGCAGTCTACAAGGCACAGCAATGATAAATATTTTAAAGCCTCTTTTTTCCCTCCCCATCTAGGCTGTACAGATTAATGGTATATTATCTTCTTCAACAGCTGGTCAAGTGGGACCAGCACAAAACTGCAGCTTCTAATTTAGCATACTATAAAGAGGGACTGCACTGCTCACAGCACGCCCATATATGGTAAGAAAGACAGTTCTTGTTTATGTTGCAAACTGAAAGAGCAGCGATTAGATCATGTTGTTTCTCAATAAAGAAGAGCCGTTCATTCAGGTTCTTTCGAGAGTTGGATCTCGATTCCCACCAATATCAGAGACTTGCACAATCCTCAGTATTTTTTTTTAAACAAAACTTCAACATGACTCAGGACAAACCAATGATGTAATTAAACCTTTGTATGGAACCGTCTTCCAACATCAAGAGAAGGTCACATCCATTTTATTTTTAGGTTATTGACTCTGAAATCTGTTTGTAATTGCTTTGTATTATAATGCATACTTCTTCTTTTTTTCAGATCTTTTCTTCCCTCGGGCCACAGATGTGAATTCGCTTTATAACTAACTCTGGCCCAACAGATTCAAAATCCAAAGTCTTGATTGTCACAGAGCAAAAACAATGAAACAGGGAAGCTTCATCATGAGCTACGCAGGGCAAAAAAAGATACAAACAGTATTCATACACATAGCAGTTTTAACAGATGAACAGTATTACAGGGTAACTAGAGCCCGACTGATTTATCAGCGGATAACATCGGCCGATATTAGCATAACCAGTGACTATCGGTATCAGGGGTGCAAACGAATACTTGGGTACCCGAGTAAATGTTTCTTGTTGCATTGTGGGTTCTAGGATAGGCCTAATTCAAAACAGAAAAAAAGGAGCACGAGCGCAAAAAGAAAATAGATGACTAACAAAGCGCTCTGTGCTGAAACGCGTCCGTTGTTGATCCGTACGCTGCAACCCTAACAAAAATATCCCTTTAATTAACCCCCCTATGAATTCACAATGAACAAAAAGTCCCAAACAAACGAAATATGCAATATGATCTACAAAAGTTCAGTTCAAATTGTCTTTTTAGTCCACAGAAAAAGAAGGACTTTCACTTTGCGATTACCGCTTTACTCCGCTAAACCAATGACGTTTGATCATCCAGGACAGAGCAGCATAACTAGATGTTTTCCTATATTTTGGAATTTTAGATAATTATTCTTTTAATAACTACAAAATGGAACAACCTTATAGGGAGAAATAGCTCATAGCGGACGGACGAGCGAGATGGAGCGAGTGTGTCATTACGCACAGAGGAGAAAGATGAAACAGACAGACACTTAAATTGTTCACCTGTTCTATTGTAACTTCATTCACCAGAGTAAAGTGTGCTCTACACTGCTGCTGCTTTCGAAACAGCTTCAACGTGCAATGAGTGCGCACTGATGTCTGCACTTCCGCTCGCCACACTCACTGCTCTAATTATAATAAAGTGTTAAAACGGTCATAACACGTCTGTGTGAATTTTTATTTGAGGTTTGCTGTCTGTTGAAGTAAGAAATGTCATATTTGAATGTTAATACAAAGGCCTCTTACTAACAATTATTAAAATCCTGAAGATTCAAATTAATCAATAGATACAGTCGGCATTGCGTTCATAGTTGGGGGCGGGGCCTCCCGTGGGGGAAAAGAATCACAGAAAAAAAAAAGAACAACAAAACGATTACTCAAGTACTCGCTTTAACAATGGGAAGAGTAATCGATTAGAGAAAAATTTTGCATTTCTGCACCCCTAATCGGTATCGGCTAATTTTATGGCAGATATTCGCCGAAATTACTCGATTTATTCACCAGACAAATAGCGTTTCATTTGAGTATGGTTGTATTGAACTAGCAGTTCTCTTTATGGCTGTCACCAGCAGAGTACAACATGGATTACAACAAGCATCATCACCCTCCTTTCCACGAGTGTTTGATAACTACGTTTTAGGGATCAACCCAATAAATGTGTCTATATCCATCTCTAAAGGTCAAACATAGATAGAAACAAAGAAAGAAATTGGCCGATATATCGGTATCAGATTTCTCTCCCTAGAATCAATATCGGACCTAAAAATCCCGTATTGGTCAGACCCTTTAACCAACTAACTCAAAAAAATTGCAAAAGTGCAAGGCCTCTGTCAAATGAACGAAACAAGGTGAAATCTGAAAGTGAAACTTCACCGAGCAAAGAGTAAAAAATAGCAGCTGTTAAATGACCTACAGCCTAAAAGCCTTCCACAACAGCAGCATAAACGCAGCTGACGTACTCATCCTAACACTGCAAACAACAAAAACACAACAGTGCACCTCACCTGTGCTCTATGCAGGAACTCTACCAAGGACATATCTCATATGTGCTTGAAACTTAAAAGACCTGGAACCCAACAAAGGAGCTCTTCTTTAAACATTCTGCTGCCCCGGCTTCATGGGGTTTTTGACTTTAAATAACTTTTATGGAGCTATGGGTGTGAGCTGTGCAAGCCTTATACATCCGTCTGTGCCAACATCCTGCTGTTGTAATGCATCAGCATCTTTGCAGAGTGTTGATACTGCCAGGCAAGCATATGCAGACTTGCACCGCTGCTGACCTTGTGCTGTTTGGAAGGATGCATCGCTGGCCTTCACTGATACTCAACGCAGTTCTGTAGGGATTTAAATCTCACATACAGGAGGTGTGATGAGGAGGAATACTGCTGAGAGCGGAAATAAGCTCGTTTTTCTCCCTCAACCGCAGCCACTACTGTCGGGATGACGTAGTGAAACAGACAACAAGCTCACATCTTTGTCAAAGTGAAGTGCTTTATATCCTCTAAGCTGGACTCAAACTGAAACTATGATTAAGAAGTGTGTGTGTGTGTGTACCTCATTCAGTTTAATCTGCCTCAGTTCCTCCTCTGCAGCAGTGAGAGGTAGGGGAGCAGCCAGCGAGGTCAGATGTTTCCTGTATCCGCTGAGAGTCAAGTCCTCCTGGGGGCCCAAAAGAAAAAGAAGCACAATGCCACATCATACAGCAAAAAGACTGACTCACGGATACATCACTGCTAATTTCAGTCGCCAGTTCGGAAAACGAACAAAGCTAGACTTGTTTTACGTCGACTTTCGGGAAGGTTTTAAACCGAAGCCTCAATGCTTCATGGAGCTTCACACGTCACCTTCAAGTGTCGCGCTGCAAGGAGACTAACCTTTGCGGTAGCGAAGATCTCGTCCTTGATGTGTCCGCCTCCGAACTCTTTCTTCAGTGTGGCTCTAGTAGCAGCGTATAACATCTTATGTCGCACCTGTTGAGGAGAAGAGTGAAAGTTTTAAGGATCTTTCTATTGAGAAAACTTGTTATGATGCATGAGAAAGTTGCAGCTTCTGACCTGTAGTATTATTTATTCTTGTGTTTTTCAACCGTTTTATTTGGAAAAATATACAAAGACTACGGGATGAAAAAGAGCTATGCACATGTGCATTGTGTATTTATTCAGTCTCAATCCCCAAAAACACAATGACTGTATCAGTCAGGTCTAACAAAAGGGACCAATTCTATGATTTCTCACTCAAAAATGTTTTGTAAAATCATTTTAAACCAGGATTTTTTTCATCAATATTTTGTAAAACCAAATAACGAATAAAGGAAATAAGACCTAGACAAGAAAATATAGTTCCTAGGTATGACTAGTACTGAAAACTCCCAACAATATCTCCATACGCCCTAAAAAAAAAAAAAGGCTTCTTCAGAGAAGTCAAAACACACTCACACCACTTCAGTCAGGGCAGCATGAACATGTGTTGCTTGTGAAATTGTTTTTGCCTCGTCCAGACAAGCCTCAACGTGCAAGCACAGTACTTTCAGCCACGGGGCAGGAATGTTCAGCTCATGTCTCGCAGAAAGGGAACTTTGGGTTCAATTCCACCATGCATTTAAAGAGTGCTTCAAATATCCTGCACGGCACCGGCCTCTCCTTGTAACATTCCTCTCCCCACTGCTATACAATCAACATTTGTGCGTCTACTAGTCATGTTTATTTAAAATCACGGTGACTCTATTCCATGAAGTGGTTCATCGAGTTTGAGTGGAACCAAATGACTCAGGTGACACTGTACGAGTTTAAAACAAAGCAAATGCAAAACACACATTTGCATTACAGGGAACCAGCGCAGGAAGAGACGCTCGTATCAACAAAAAGCCCTGAGAGGGGTGGACTCTAATTTAGAGATTGGATGTTTAGACTAAGCACCAGGTTATACCGGAGCAACATAATATCCCCATGTTTAGATTTCAAGAGGTCTGGTCCACATTCAGCCACATTTTCAACAAGCCTGCTGCCTTGATGTGGTGACCCCACCCATTGGATACTCTAGCCAGAAGAGAGGAGTACACATGCCTAGTAGCAGTATGGAAAGCTATTCATTAAATCTGGTCTGGGCTTGGTTTCCTTACAGGTGAGTTGTCTGGTGACCAGGCCAGGAAGAGCCACTCGTAGCCCTGGTTGTTAGTGGAGTCCAGCCGGTACAGAATATAGCAGGGCATGGCTTCCTCAAGGAGGGTCAGCACTACGCTATCATACTCCTGGTCCCACTTCTTTGATGCTTTCCTGGTGGAGCCTAGGGTCAGCTGCTCTGGAAAGCAGATGTGTGCAAGAAAATAAAACATCAGCCATGTTTGGATTTCTAACTATAAGTTTTCTTTGCAGGAGAATCTGCAAACAAACTGCAGGACCGACTTACCATCCTCAATCACGATCTTTAGGGCTCGATATTGGTCCCCACTCCTGGCACTGGCGAAGATATCCTTCACATCATTTCCCGCTGAGGAGAAACAGAGAGAGGGTCAAGTCTTCAGCTTTATTAAACACACACTTGCTAACATGGCCTTTTTTAGCCCTGGATTGCAAGTTTCCATCTAAAAGGCAAGGGCATCTTATTTATACAGCACATTTCATACTCAAAGGCTTCACTTCACTAAATACACAGGCGTTCACACATTCATATGAAGTATCTACTAGATCTGTGAGTCAGAATCAAATCTGAAACAAACAGATGTTAACACATCATATTAGGATTATGAAACGATCTTCTCATATAGCTAGTGTTGATACATAACTCAGTACAAAGTATCACTCATTTTAGCACATAAACTCCTTAACAAAGCAAGAAAACTATATTTTCTGTATTTTTTTTATGGTATTCAGAAGGTCATTAGGTGTCATTTGGGAACACCTATGTAGTGCAGAGAGGATTAAGTACCGACCGCTGTTGACCTGAAACACAGTCGCAATAAAAAGAAGTCTCCAATCAGCATCCACACAAAAGGTCTTAAAGGTTTAAGCTGGAATGACTCTGCTGTTTTCCTAATGCCCCTGCCAGAAAATGGGAACAGGGCCAACTCCAGAGACCTGGTCGTAAGAGTACCAGTGGAAAACGACTGCTTGCTTTAGAAATATCAAGCAGGGCCGAAGTCACAAAACAATACGAGTTCACTTTTAACAATAAACTTGTCATGCAGTGTTCTGCGTGGTCAAAACAATGGAGCGCAGTCAAACAAAGGGATTCACTTTAAGGCATGATCTAAGTCATCTACAGAAAAGGTTCTTAAATGGAGAAATGGAGGTGTGCTTTACTAACAGCAGGCCACATACTTTAAAAAAATGATGCAGAGTTTTTGAGGGACACAACATTTTCAGCCTGTGGAAGAATCAGCAGGTAAAACAAAAACACACGTACATTACAAAGACGCACCTCATCCTGCATTCAAATGTCAAACACTTTAAATAAAAACAACCCTGGACAGGAACAAACAGTGACATTCACAGTGTCTGTCTATTATTAACACGCCTAGATTTGCAGGTTGTTCCACCTCAATACAGACTGTTCAGACTGCTGCCATATACAAGACGACTTAAGTGATTTATTATCATTACAAAGTGCAGGTGAAGTCAGTGCTGTTCACATATTTATGGGAGCAGCTCCACCAGGCCAGCAGTGAGTTTAAATGAAGGCGTCGCCCGTCCATTCAAAACTACGTTACCGGGTTTTAAGCTTTTTGCGTTAATGCGGAAATAAAGCATAGTGTAACTGTGATTCACGTAGCCCCACAATCTGTCTGAAAAGCTCAGGGATTATGATTCACAGTCCTAAAAGTGCTCAAACAGGGCACCATCGGTCTCACACACTCACACACACACTCATCACGGTAGCTTCAGAGCTAGCTAGGAGTGGCTAGCTGAACTTGACGCTCCTGCAGGTTCATAACGCCAACACGGGAACACGCACACGCAGAGGAAAACGAAACCGTTCACGGGGAGAAAACGATCAAAAGCAGAGGACGGCGTCTACCTTCAATGCCCGTTTGATGTGACATGGTGTCTTCGTCGGATGGCGAGGGCTGATGCAGCTGATCAGGCGAAACCAGGGCAGAGAAACAGGAAGTGGACTACATCGACGAGAGCACCGCCCCGAGACCGACGTCATCACTACGAAGTCACGTGGTGTTTACTTTACGCGTCCTCTTATCTTATTATTTACATTATTGCAATACGAATTAAAGCTTAGCAGAAATGTAGACGGTGGGGGGGAAATGTTTAAAGCTATGATAAAAATCGGAAAAATATCAGTTCAAAGTATTTCAATAGCATTCCCTTCATGAACAAGGTATTTACTTATAAATAGTATAGTACTTATTTACTTTGTATTCAATATTATATTGTGTTTAGATTTGCTAACATTGTGTTTTTTACTCATATTGGTGTGTTTGGATAACCTGCTGCTGTAAAGCCACAATTTCCCAGTTTGGGATCAATAAAGTAATTATGTTCTATTGAACTTGTAATTTTGGCTGAACCCAGAAAGTTCTAGATATGCAGAAAATCATCCGTATCAAGACCAGCAAGTGAATTCATGTCTGCTGAGAATGTAACAGTGTTAGATACCCAATCCAAGTACCTATTTAAATACAATTTTTATTTTCAGTTCTTATTGATTTATTTCTTTTTTTTTCATCTTATAGGCCTACTTTTAGGCTATTTGATATGTCAATGTCTTTGCTCCTCAATGCGATGTTTTTGCTTTTTGATTTATAGGCTATTTGTTCATTTTTTAACTCTGAAAAGCACTTGTGTATTTGAATGTCGAAACACCTAAATGCTGATATGCACTAAAGTAAAATGCATTTGAGTTATGGGAACTTATTTTGAATGATATTGTTTTAGTATCAAATGTTTTTAAATGTGTTGTCCTATGTGATCACTGACAGTCTCCTTTGTAGCAGCTAAACAAAATAAAGCAGGCTGGATCCTTATTAAGCTTTAACATGGGCTCTGTTCGTGCACGATTACAAGTCGTGTAATCTGCATCTTCATATTTGATATAGGTCCTTGATCTGTCATAACGGGGAGATTTCCGCCTCTCTTGGCAGCAGATTTCAGATGTCGTGAAATCCTGAAACATCTGGAAGCCACCGGGCTTCCTGTCCCTCCTACTCCTCGTTTAATAAATAAATAAATGAATAAATAGATTTTTACAGCAGCAGAATCAGCCAGTCACCAGAGGGAATCTCTGTGTAGTGTAAACGAAGACACAACTACGGTCACACCGGAAGCAGCAGGAACTCGTCTTTAAGATAAAGGTTTTATGGAGTTTGTTTCCGAAAAGTAGCATTTAAGCGCAACACACGTGATAGTTCAAATCATATAACACGGAATATGATATAATATAAATAATAAGATATAATTATGCACTGAAACGTATTAGTCATAGATTATGTGGATTAGGCAACATATGTCGGAAATAATTAACATCATACTTTCAAAGCACCTGTCATTATAAATACTTCAGGAAGCATCAAACACATTAAAAACCAATCCCAATAGGCTACTCCTCCTATTTATAGCCGAGTAAAATAGTAGGGATTGAGAGAGAGAGAGAGAGAGAGAGAGAGAGAGAGAAGCCTGTTAGCCTATTCACAGATTCCTCTGTTATACAGATAAAGGTCTTAAAACCTTCGTATTTATTATTATTTTATTTTTTTGTACTTTATTTTTCCAAAAGTAAATCACTAATGTGACAAAACGAAAAGACATACGTAAAGCATACTATAAAAACAAAAACAAAACAATCAATCAAACAAACAAACCAGTAACATCAAAACACCAGTCCAAATTCATGTATCATGGGTATGTAAACCATCCCACTTAAAAAAAAAAAAAACATTAGTATATAAATAAGCAACAACAAATAAACAAACAAACACACAAGACAAAACAAAACCTTCGTATTTACAATAAGTTTTATTGAGAAAAGTCAGACCGGAAATCGATTGTTCCTGACTCTACCTTGACGCTTGTGAATGAACCAAATGAACGTGTTTGGCTACATTGCGTTGCGCGTTTGCTATGCGTGCTGTGTGGACTCATCCAACTCCATCAGCTCTCCTCCAGCAGCAGCAGCAGCAGCAGCAGCAGCATCAGTGTCCCGTCCACAGCCCAGAAACTACACTGTCCCTCCGGCGGGAACCCGCTGACGAAGCACCGCCCGGCTGACCTAGCCCACCCGGCGCATGGACGCTCCAGCACAATGGCAGAGGATTTGGGGGTGCCTCTGTTGTGTGTCAACAACAGGTCGCATGGATAATTCCTCCACAATCCTCCGGTATCATCTCTTGTTCGGGATGAATAGAGCGCCGCTGTCGACTTGATGTGGCAGGAGAGCCGTGCAGGAGCGGGGCTGCTCGTCCTGGCTGTCGACTGAGAGGAGGAGGAGGAGGAGGAGGAGGAGGAAGAGAAACGGCGTGGAGCAGGTGCGTTGATGGGTGCTGTTTCACAAAATAATACCGAGGTGCAGCCAGGTAGGTCGTGCGCGACTCTCAGCCGTCCCAGATATCGCTAGGGTGCATCGACATTTTAAGTTGTGTAATCGGATAGTTCCAGTCAAGCATGTTGTGTTATCTCCGAGATGCGTGGGGTCGGTTGCTGTGACATTTGGCGTCACAACTGTCGTGACATTAGGGTGGGGGGATGTGTGTGTGTGGGGGGTCACACGCTGCTCTTATCATGGTGGTCCATTCAGAAGCTGAAACTAGTAGGGCCATGCAATGTATTACTCAAACGACTGTTCTTACTGACCATTGTGGTATAGTTTTGATATTAGAGGCTAGACATTGAGTGTGTCCAAATACCAGGATGACAGATTATGTAGATTCAAGTAGTGTTCAATTCACTTGAATCATAATACAGTCCACTTGCATGTTCCACGCTGTATATATGAGACTAGTGTTTTCATGTTCTGGCTATGGGAGTCACTGGGATTGCAGCACCTGCACAAATTGGGGGCAAGGTCCCCTGTCATTCAGCAAGACTGACTGGTTAGAAAGGAACAAAGACATGCAGCTAATCCTGCATTTTAACCTCTAATAATACCCTTTTTAATAATGGCACCATCACTAGCTTAGCATCAGTCAAGGTGGAAAATAATGATAAGCAAACACGACGATGCTGGTGAAATTCAACACCCATGTGGGTGTTCGACTGTGGCCGCTCTATTCCTGAGTCTAATTTCCCACTGAGGGGTTATTTTAGGAAACTGTGTCACATTGGGGAACTGGTTTGGGAAGTTCAGTCCAGCAAAGTCAGAACAGTTACAGCAAAGGAGTTCAGGCTGAGTGGAGCTCATGGATGAATGAATCTAGTCTGGGTTTTCTTTTTTTCTTTTTTCCTTTTTTTTTAAAGACAGAGGGGCGGTCTGTCGGGAAGTTACTCAAGCGCTGCTTTTCAGGTGTTTCCAGGCAAAGTGTCAACGGAACGCTGCCACATTTCTGAGCGGGGAGCACAGGACAGAGAGGCTGAGACGAAAAGACTTTGAATAGTCAGCACTTATCAAGGTACGACAACAACACATCAGCTAGTTTCACTGACTGAAGACGAATCTTTAAAGCTTAAACTTGAGTATTTTGGAGAGCAGCTTCTTGTTTCATTTTTTTTTTGCACAGTTACACCTAAACTCTCCTCTAGTTTTGCATGTTTTCTTGCAGATATAATTTTTTTTTGTGCTGTTACAACACAGATCAAGCCCTCTCTTGCCGTGTTTGTGTGGTTATCTAAGAGCTGATGGGAAAAGCCATTTTAGGGCTTACATGTCTCTTTGTAGGTGTATTATTGTCACTTATTTAGACAACTCAGCTTGTTTCACACACTGATGAAGAACTAAGTCCATGAAGCTTAAACATCTGTCTTTTGAAGAGCTGCTTCTTGATAAGGCTTAGTGAGCCACGCTCTACCTTAATTCTTCTCCAGTTTGACCTCTTTCTTGCAGATGTTGTTTGATTTGTTTGGCGTCACTAACAGGACACATCAAGACCTCTCTCGTCATGCTTCCGTGATGATCTTAGCGTCTCAGAGCTTTGATATCTCTGTAGGTGTATTTCTGGCACTGCCGCTGAATGATCCCAGTTGTCTGAATTTAGCATAATCCCAGCCGTTACCAAACCTCAGTTATATTCCTATCACTAATCTCAGCATGAGGGAAGCTTTTACTCTAATCTGCCCTGCTGATATGCGAGTAATGTAATCTGACTGAAGGAAGCACTTTGACTCTCTCTCTCTCTCTCTCTCTCTCTCTCTCTCTCTCTCTCCCTCTCTGACTCCCAGGTGTCGTGTGGCCGGGGGGCTCAGCAGGATGGAAATACATACATGTTTTCGGTACTATTTCCAGCACCCGTGGTCGCGTCTCATCGTGGCCTACCTCGTCACCTTCTTCAACTTCCTCATCTTCGCGGAGGACCCCATCTCTCACAGTCAGACAGAGGCCCACATGATTGTAGTTGGCAACTGCTTCTCCTTCCTGTTCAACAAGTACCCCGGCCTCGGATGGAACATCCTGAAAGTAGTGTGCTGGATCCTCGCCATCATCTGTGGCCTGCTAGCCGGGAAGTTTATATTCCACCGCCAGCTATTTGGTAAGTCATGCGCACAGTAATAAGAGAGGAATGTGCAGAGTAATGGCTCTGGTGAGGGGAGGGAACTCTTCATCCTGATGTATTTTAGTTTTGGCTGTTCATCAGAAGAAAAAAAACACGTCACATTCATACTCCACCTTTTTTTAAAAAAAATAGTTTATCATGAAAAAATGATCACGCTGTAACAATCAGCTGCCATCTTTCCATGTATTCTCCTGGATCAAACCTTCTGGTTAAATTAATCTTCTTTTTTATCAAACCTGGGTCAATATTTGCAAATCGTTCAATTTAGTCACAGATACTGGGAAATGTAGTCTTTCTCAGAAATGACTCATAGATGCTTAAAATTGATATAAAAGGACGTTGTTTCAAATCTAGGTTAAAGTAGATTGGTGTCACTACTACAGCGTTTGCTGAGATTAGATACAAACTAGCAAAAAGACGGTAAAGTGAATATTCTCTTGACGTCCTGAGTTTGCATACAAGAAATGTGAGTCAAACTCAACTCAAAAATCACTCGTTTTATTGTATCTCAACTTGCAGGCAGCCCCAAGAAAGCATAAAATGTTACCTGCATCATGATCTAGGTATTTCACTTCAACCCGTACTGCAGTTAAAGGACGTTTGAGACAACTTTACATATCTTGCACAACCCCGTCTTAATTTTCCAAAAAGCTTAAAAAAATTCACAAATATATTGGTACTCCCTAAGACCTAAAAAAACAACCGTTCAAGTGGTTTGATAAAGGCCGCCATCCATTTCTGTGGCTCAGTTTTAGAGTAAGAGTTCTGTGCGTGCTGACTAATAAGAACACTTAAACAAAGATGAGGTAATGAATGATAGTGCCACTAAAAAATACTTACATCCATGATGGTTCTGTGGTGGAAATTGATGCCCTCAAAAGAGCGCTTGAAGGCAGGATGAATTATAGTGAACATCTTTATTTAGAAATGCAAAGATCTGTGTATTGTCTGCAGAGAAAACCAACATTTAGCCAACAAGTTCATCAGTCGGTAAACGGTAAATGGACTTGTTCAGCTCTTCAATAATCTGCTGAAGAATCACTACATTTCACACATTCACACACTGATGGCAGAGGCTGCTGCTGTATGCAAAGTACCCAACTGTCCATCAGTACTGTTCCTTTCCCACGCCGCTGGTGAAGCAGGGGGAGAAACTCGGGCTTCGGTGTCTCGCTCAAGGGCACTTTTACATGTGACTGCAGGAGCTGGGTTTCAAACCCCCCCCCAACACCCGGTTGAGAATGAGCTTACTCTACCACTAAGCCACAGCCGCCAATTATGTAGCTTTTCTGTTTCTATGATGAGGAACCACCTCACAATGCCATCCATTACCCTTTTTTTTTAAAAATCTATTCTTGAAAACCTTCTGATTATTACACATTCATTTGAAGGCTAAACTAGTATCTTTACTAATGCTTCCTGTTTGTGTACATCATATGTACACATCTAGAATCGGAAATCAGGGAGAGAAAGAGAGAGGGAAATGACATGCAGGAAAGGAGCCACAGGCTGGATTCGAACCCGGGCTGCCCGCTTGGAAGACTACAGCCTCCATACATGGGGCGCGCGCACTAACCACTGCGTCACCAGCGTCCCATCATATTTACACTTCTGAACCGAGAGTTCTGGGGTTTTCCCAGTCATGACTTCTATTAGCTCTGAAACACAACATCCATCCGGCTATATGTTTTTCACAGTAATTATTATCTCACTTCCTTCCCCTCTCACACCTCCCATGAGATATTTCCTCTTCTGTTTCACCCACTCGCCATCTTTCTCACCTCTTCTTTCCACCTGAACCCTCTGTCTCTCTTCGCTCTCTTGACAGCCCGACTCTTTCCACAGTACTCTCTCCTCTCATAAGGCTGTGACTCCAATCTCATCAGCCCTTCATTTGTTTATACTGTGCAGCAGTTCACTGCCTTTTTTTATTTTTTATTTTTTTATTCAACTCACGCATTTCATTTCCTACTCACTTCACAACTCACTTAGCCCTGGATATGATTGGCCACCCTGGCTTATCTCCTTGGGATGAACCATTAATGACTGTAATTGGAGGGCACAGAAAGAGAGAGGGAGCTGGAGAGAGGCGGGGGGGGGGGGGGCAGGAGGGTGGATTTTGAGCGATCATCTCCTCAGAGCATAAATAGAAATCCAAGAGTGCACGATGATATAATAATTTTTGCAAATATAGAATCCTCACTTAGAGGGGAAGTAGAAAATAGCCTAACGGATCGAGTTTTTCCTCTGTGGATACCAGCTGTTCTGTTTTTCTCAAGTTACAATCGTTTCATTCAATGTTTCCTTACTTAGGATCTGTGACAAAGTCTATCTTCCTCTCGGCCAGGAGCCCACAGAGGTGACTTGATACTATATACTTATACTTGGAAGATACTTGGGGATCTCTAAGGCGGAAATAACAAAGTCAAACTGAAAAAATGTTGATATAAATACATTTCTATCTTCTTTTGTTATGTATAAATATTGGCCCTTACCCATCATACAATATTATACAAAAAATGTACTGGAAAACAACCTACATTTTCAGCATCATGAGAGTTTAGGTCGTAAAATTGTGTCATCCACCAGACAGCGTGTTCTACAGTAACACTAATCAATGATAAATGTAAACTGTAAGAGTTGGTTTACCCAGCTTGGACAATCTTTGTGTTGTAAGTGCTGTTTGTTTGAGAGACCTGTTGGGGTGGAAATCGGGCACCTACATGACCCCTTCTTCTGGTTGGCTCGCTCTTAAAGTCCCTCGAGCTTTTGCTGAACTCAGTTGAAACTGCATTTTCTTCTGATGCCCCAATTTTCATGGCACGCCCTCCAGCAAACTCTAAAGATTAGAGCTCTTCCCTCTCTTGCAGAGTTTAAGAATTGGATTTCTAATTGTAACTGTTTGTAATGGATCTCAGTGTTTTTTTGTAATTGGTTTTATGTGTGGTTGTTGTTTTTGCTTGTTTTACTGTGCTTGTAATCTTGACGGCATTGGAAATGAGGAAACCTTAATGTCCTTTCTAGAATGAATAAAGGTTTGATTGATTGATTGAGTTTAGAAGACAAGCTGAGAGTCAGGTGACCACTTTGATAACCACTCTAGTACTTGTGTGTTAAATATGACTTTACAAACAGGAAGTGGTTTGCTTAGTTTAGCATAAATACTGGGAGAGTTGAATTGACTTAAAAAACTTTGTGTCTTATTTCTCTACTCAGCGCAGAAGTGTGGAAACAAAGGCTCTGGTGTGATTGTGAATTAGCTGCAGACAGCGACTTGTCCTGATTGGCTGGCTACATCATTAGGACAACGAAAGTAACCGACCGAAAGCTAATATTAGCAAGATTAATTATTACAATCATGAGGATGATATTAATATTCTCATCTAGATATTGGCAACATAATGGAGATGTGATTGTTCTCTCTGCCCTCCAGGACCTTTGCCTCCACTAATGTACAAGAAGGAGAAATTTAATTGTAATAGCGTTTTCTTTTTGGACATTATGTCCCTTTTCCAGGATGAAAGCCTGGAAAATCTGATAAACATGGTGATTCGAGGGACTGTTTGTAGAAAGTGGTTCAGATGACAACTTTTTATAGTCTGTGGATTATCCAAAGGAACAGGGATGCTGTTCCTGGAAAGATAAGTTGTAATGCAGAAATCCCTGAGTAAATTGTAGGTTTAGGTTAACTGTATTTATATTTTTGTACACCAGTTTAACTCCAAATTTTGCACAAACAGACAGCTCCCCTGGCATTTTCTTATTTGCATGAGTCATAAATAGTAAATAAAAAAAAAGCTCTCTCCATGCCCACTGTACTGTATGTGGATCAGGGTCTATACATTTTAGAGTAAAGAAGACAAACATAGTACTGCTCATGATTCCAGGTAATATGCTTCAACAAGCCTCTGAACACATGGTTTGTGTCTTTTGTAACTGTTAGGCAGTGACATGTGTTTAGTGTATGTGTGGGTGAAAAGGCCCCGTCTGTGTGAGAGAGGGGGGGAAAAAAAGGTTGATGTGGAGAGCTGGGGAGGCTGAATGTGTCCTGAACAACATTTCAGTTAAGCGGTTATGTAATCACGACCCAGGTAGGGCATAAGAGCTCTGCGATAGAAGCAGGCCCACTGTAAAATGCATCATGTCACACAGGCCCACATGGCCCACCTACTGCACATCATAATGTCTGCACTAAAAAAAATAACCCTGCTGCTGATCTGAGGCCGCTCTGTGATATGTGGGCGTGCAGTGGGAACACTTCTGGATACAAACACAGTCCATGCAAAGGTGCAAGTACCTGGAAAAAAAAAAGATGTTGTTGGTCAGTGTTGTCTGCAGTAACATTTAAGAAAGTCTTTTCTGACGCTATTCTGATATATTATTATATGTTGCATAACTGGAATCCTTTTTAAGCTTAGGCCGTCTGCAGCGAAGCTTAAATCAGTTTGTCACAAACCTGGAACAAACACCGTTTGTGAAAGCTAAAACATTAGCCGTGTCGTTTGTCATTTCTGATGGCCTAGAAAATCAGAACATTTGACAGTAATTACACCTCATCCTCCCTCTAGGGCTTTGATGTTTTCATTTGTTTGCCACAATATGAGATTTCCCCCCCTCAGAAACCCACACAAACATTAATCCAGTTGTCGCTTAACAGTTTGCTTTGCTCTCCGGTTCTGTTCTCCACTCATGTTCCTGTTGAGAGTGGTCAGAAGGTGCACACTGCATTGTTCTCTGTTAGCCTCAGATGGAGAGAGAAAAAAAAAAAGAAATCGGAAAAAAAACCCTGGGTGATGAATAGCTTGTGACAGATTATGTGATTTAAGACTACATTTGAGGTTCAAGAAACAACCTATGCTGTTCTATTCAGCCTCTCAAGGCTATGTGTGCTCTCTAATGGAGTGGGCGCTAGCCAATGACTTCTGGTCATTCAGAGGACGACTGGCTGTCGTTATGCATTTGTATTAAATGTTAGG